CCCCCCCCCCCCCCCCCCCCCACCCATTAAAAAAATTTTTTTAAAATAAAACACCAACAAAAAATCCCCCTAAAACATGTGTTGATGTTTGGGAAAACAAAGTTGAAAGACATGAGGAAATAGGGAGGGAGATGGGAAAAGAAATTCAACAAAAGTTTGCGACCTTACCTCGTGGCTACACCAGCAAACATGGAGTTGTCTACATGGTACGGGTAGACAGCAGTCACTGTGACACCACTGTCTCCATCCCTGGTCAGCTCATCATATAGCGCCTCTGGGACACATGGGGGGAGGGCAAGAAAGAATTTTTGACAAACGAGGTGATTTGTTGTTGTTTATTTTGTTTTAGTAAGGTTTTACGGCCTTCCCAACTGCATAAGGTCATATGAGCGCCAAGGGTGGATGTCAACAGAGAAGTCCAAACCGGGAATCAGGCTTACTTTACATACCTTTCTAGCCTCAACAGCACAAAGTCTGCTTCCACTATTAAGGCACCCCGAAAAGAGTAGTTCACAAGAGAGTGACAAACATACAAAGGAAGTAGAGGAAAATGACGATAGTAAGGATAAGGAAAGAAAAAGCAGTAGTTCCCCCTATGCTGTTCCGGCACAGTGTGAGCATAACATTGATAAATCAGCTTATTTACAATTCTACTGTGCATAAGAACATGTTAATATCTTCCCTTTGGGAATGGCCTAAAGACAACTTCAGCCAGTAGCACTACCCTGGTAGGAAGGGGGGGGGGGATATTTGATTGGTTTTTTTAAAGCAAAGAGAAGCACACAGACAATAATGATCAATAATAAATGATGACAGGGGACTCAGTAAGTAACTTAACAAGTGTGGTGTTCACCTGTCAACCTGGAGGTCTAGAGTTTCATACCTGTGTTGGGATTTTTTAAATGTGTTATCTTATATCCCCGATCCTAGGGTAGGTGGGACCAAGCAAGATGGGGGCAAAGAATTTCAGAGGAACTCCATGCCGCAACTAAATTCCACTCCTGGTGAACCGTGAATGGTACAGTCCAGTCCATTTATAACACTAACAGCCTCTGTTATTACAGGAACTTGGATACAACAGTGATAAATCAAATCCTCGATTTTTTTTCTCTATAAATGTAAGTTATATGAATCTGGCTGTAACAGGATTCAATTTGAGCAGTCTCGGATGTGATCTTGCAGCGCATGAACTTGCTTTCGAGCCGTCAAATTATTAAAATTATTTGTCTCAATCAAGACATTTTGCCTGTTTGTATGATCGCTCGTCTAAACACAAACTTTCAAACACATACCCCCCTACAGTGTTGGGGTCACATATCGATTCCATTTCAGTGTCAGCAAACAGCCCACTGGAAAAGGATCTGAGGTAATCAAATATAATATTTAGTAACTAAAGGAGCAATGGCACTGGTAGTTTCCCTTGATAACGGTTACAATAGGACTTGCTCATAACAGAGAAAAACTGCCAGTCCCATCTGTCCTGTTATCTGAGTTTGACTGTATCTTATTAAATCATGAAAGAATAACCTGTCTGAAAGAAGCGGCACAGGCATACCTGACAAACCGCAAGCTGCAAACTTGGAACTGCAGTAGTCTGAAGCTCCGTTTAGCCCTGCCCAGCCAAGCATGGAGCTCATGTTTACAATGTGACCTCGTTTCTGCTCCAACATAGGGGGAAGAAATGCTCGAATGGTCTGTGAACACAAGTTTTTTTTTCAAGATCACAACTTGAGAAATGAAACAATTTTCTGACACATGATAAATCAGGGGTTATTTCGTTTTCACTGAAGCCATGCAAAGGTAGATCAACAAAATTTTTTACTGAAGCAAACATAACCTTACCAAATGAAGCATTTTCAGTCTTCTTAATGAAAATATAACCCGATAAATTTCAACATTCATTTGCCAAATTTCATTTCGAAACGGATGACTATTTTCCGGTTTAATAACACAGCTATTAAAGAACAGTATTTTTTGCTAAAATCATAAACATCTTGATAACTGACTACACATCTAGTAATCTATCAAAGCATATCAGTAAAATGCACATCAGAAACAAGCAAAAACCATAAAAATACAAAATCCTGTCCTTGAATCATTTAACAAGTGAAAAGGAATTTTCATTTTTACCCAGAAATGTGCCAACACATTGGTTCTTATAGTCTGTTCTGTTTGCTGCGGACTTGACTCCAAAACAGAATTTGGAAAAACCACGCCAGCATTATTAACCAGCAGGGTCACATTACCAAATTTGGCCTCAACTTCCTTTGCCTGTAGAGAAATAAAACAAGGCATCAGCTACAACCCAGGTCAATTTACGTCTATATCCTTCAAAGATACACAGATTTTAAACACATGTTCAGCCGATGTAGAATATATAATTTTGCATCAACACAATAAGGTTGATTTTAAGATCATAAGAAATCAACTCTATATTACAAGCTCTAGAGAAGGCCATTTATACAATTGAGAAAAGACAGGCCTACTAAAGGACAAGACACAAGCCATAATCATCATCATCATCATTTTTAAGGGGCCAGATCTCAAATAGACTTTGACAATCATGGTCCTCTGTTCATTTCTTTGCATGGATGCTCTCGAAATACCTACATCATCCTGGTGTTATACTGTTATCCCCTCACCAAGGCAACCGTTAGTTCAGGTATCCTCACCCCTAACCCATCTATAATACAAGTTTTTCCAAGTAGGTTGCAGTGGGTCTACCCCTCGCTCGTTTGCCTTCAATTTTTCCCAGTGAGAGCGAAATGTTAAAGGCTTTTTTGTCAATTCACATGTCTCAAAAACTGCATTTATTGTCTCGTCCTAATTTTGTTTTATTAGTGAGTGGCCATCTTAGTTAGGCTTCTTTCAGTACCACTTCATTTGATTTCTTTTTCTTCCACGAGATGCTCATCAGTCTCCTGAGAAACTAAATTTCCGATGCTTCCATTTTATTTTCACAATCTTCGGTAATGATCCAGCATGCATAGCATTATAGAAGGGGTGCCCACACGTTTCATTTCAGAACTCTTATTTAGATGCAAGGAAGAGAGACAAATTTATAAATCTTTCTGAGCACTCAAATAATTTCTTCTGTGGGTTTGGGTTATCAAACAGTCTTATTGCATACAAACAGAAGATGAAACATTTCAACTGGGGGAATAAAATGCCAGAAGAAGGGTCTTCCAGTGCTAGGGGTGGTAAAGCGAACCATGTTCTTAATAAATTTATCTGGTACAGCATTCAATTTCACCAAGTACAAAGCATAATACAGGCGAAAGCCATGATATTTGATTTTGGACATTATTTTTCCTGAAAACAAGACTTATTGTATGATGAGCTACTAGATGCATAATTATGGTATGTTGTATTTAAAAGTAAGCCTACTTCCTTAAACACATTCATTTGTGCAAAGCTCAGGGGACAGTCTCCCAATGGTATCCAGCCTAATTTTGAAATATCGCAAGGCATTTGAATTGAAATTTGAAATTTGAGTAGTTTCTTGTTCTAGGGAAATATATTGGGGCTTGGTAATGAAACACTTCAGCACTGAAAGGGTTAATGGATATCAACAAGGTAATTTTTTTCTCCATGAGTCTGAAGAAGGTGAGACTGATGTTGGCGGAGGCGATGTTAACCACACATGGGACTAAGTATCCTACTACAAATATGACATGATAGCACTGAAAAAAAAAAGGTAACACAAACTCAAATACAGTAGTCTCCGCCTAAGATCCCACCGCTTACGATCCCGGTTCGCTTAAGATTCCGCTGTTTTAAGAAAACAGAATTTGTACTATACAAAAGTCACCCCTAAGATCCCGTTCTGATTCACTCTGAAGGTCTACTTTCGGCTAAGATCCCACATTTCAGATAATAATTTGCGGAACAAAAACGCGGGCGGGACAGCCGATCAACCAAGAGTGAAAAGCTGAGATCCATAAACTGTCTGTCGCATCAAAGATCAGCCACTATCGTGAATGTGATCAAATATGTGTTGTAAAACTCGATGAAGCGATACAATGTTTGCCCCAGACGGGATCACACCGGGGTGTGAACTGACTGACACGTTTGTTTTCCTCACACATCGCACTCACACCTGAGCTCGCCCCCTAAACTTACATCACTCGCTGGGTGGGTAGGGCCTATACGTTCCCTCCAGGCGAGATCACATCGAACTGTGAACTCTTCTCTGACCATTGCAGCAGTTGTCCCTACTCCTGAATTTGCGAGACAGACTGAATTTTATTGGTGTGTTCACAACGTAATGGGGTGTAACGACAAAGGCTGTGGGGGAGGGGGGGGGACACGGTCAAAGATGGAAAGCTATAATTTTCGACAGGTAAAGGGGAGGGGCAACTGGATAAGTGTAGATCTTGAGACTCATGATAGGATAATAAGTGAAAATGGCACGTCTCATCCCACTATGCGCTGTGATAGGTCATCAAGGTTAACCACTCTTTGCTCGCCATATGCCATAAACCCACCAAAGGGTCACGTCAGTACATTTTAGAGTGGAGGGAGACCATTTTACCGATTGTGAGCCTTAAAATGGATCACCATAGATTTTTCCCTAGGTTCGTCGGTTAAGATCCCGCTTAGCCTAAGATCCCGCATTTCCTTGCTCCCGAGCACCGGGATCTTAGGCGGAGACTACTGTATATGTAACTTTTCATTTTCAAACTACTAAAGTTGTGAATATGAACTACTACTAATAATAATAGTACACAGAAAATATATATATACCATTGAATAAATTTCCTCCCTAGAACTGACATCGCAAATCATGTATGAACAGTTGATGTTCATTTTCCTGACTTCACTGACAGTTGCTGCGAGGCATTCCTCAGTGCGTCCCCAGATAATTATCTGCAAAAACAGGTAAACAGTTCTTACCGCTCATGGTAATCATAAGTTAAAGGAAACAAGAACTGACTATACTTTTTTGCATGCATAACATATATTTTCATATTTCATGTAAACTTTAAGAAGTTCCCACGACATGAAATAGAATGCCAAAAGTTCGACATTGACGAAAACTCTGACAACATATTTTTTAAAAAATGATGATGTAATATAAATTTGCATAAAAATTTCGTAAAAGCACTCTGATATTAGAAAAAAATGGACTTGTGCTGATAGTCGAGTTCAAGGCAGTAAGAGAGGAAGAACTATCGAAATAGGTTCACTTGTTTTGATTTTCTTTAAAAACCAATTGAGTGAAGTATACCGTCAATTTAGATTTTGTACCAAAAGAGGGCCCGGGCATAGTGACCCCCCGTCAGAGATAAAGAGTTAATCCACAAGTAGATATCTTATTTGTTTTATAAAGTAGCCTATTCCATTACTGCCTTGAACTCATTTCTACAAAATCCTCATGAGAGAAGTTAATCAAGAACCCAGGGGAACTAGTACTCCAACCCGGAAGACTGATATTTCAGTCTCTGCGTAGGTCTCTCTGCCCCAAATGTCTGGCATTATATGGAAACTGGTCATTTCGTCACACTGTCATCAGTGCTAGTGCTAGCAGTCTTTTTATTCTAAATCGGCAATCAAACATAACTGTTGGGCCATGCCCTCTTGTTTTACAGTAATTCAAGCCTAAAACTGCCCCCCTCCCCCACAAATAGAAACAACTCAACAAAACTCACCCAGTTCGGAACAGCTTACCAGACTGTTTAGCTGATCAGGTAGGCACGATGATTTGCAACCCCCCCCTCCCCTCTTTCTTCCAAACACCACCCAACCAACACTCTTCCCCAAAAGTCGTGATTTGCGATTGCCATGACAATACGCATTTGATGTTTGCAAGTGTGGGACAATATGTCAGTCTGCGTTCAACCTTGTGGATTTGGGGTGTGATGCAATGAATATGACCATGTCTTGACAGCACTGGAGTGACGAAATGACTGGTACCCCATTATCAGTATTCCACGACTACATTGAGCCGTGAATCAAGACCACACAGGAACTAAATCAGGATTCAGACCTCAGGGTTTAATAAATAGTCAAAAATACATGCTGGCAACACTTTTATTAACAAGTGTGTGGTACAAGTATTGTTCCTCAGCTTCAGTGACTTAAGGCGGTAACCTAATCAAGATGAAGCAACAGGGCTTGACTTACATGCTTCGGTTGATGAGTGGCAAACTCAAGAACAAGTTTCTTTCCAATACCTCGTCCACCACCAGTAATCAGTATCACATCATCACCAATTGATTTCTTCTTTGGTGGGACCACCCATGACATCACATCTTTGACTATCAGTACAAACAAATGGCACAAAAAGCAAACCCTTTTCAGACCAAACATGTTGCATATTATGTCCAGATCTGTCAGTATAGGCTATAAGAGTCTTTAGAGTTCAGTGCCAGTTGCAGTAGGTACAGAAGAGAAAGTTGAGACCAAAAGACCTAACTTTATTACTCTACTTCTACGTTAGACTTCAGTCACAAGACAGCAGACAGATTGAAAATGGATTAATTAATCAGCTGATTTGTCCTGATTCTCTGCTAGAATAAGCAATCCCTTTATACTTTATCAGATTAAACTCAACGGCTTATGATCAATAGTTGGGTTCCTGCTGGTCATCGTGATTCAGTTTAAAATCAATAGAACGTTGATAAGGTTCATGGTTCATAGCCCAAAAGACAAAAGAATACAGATGCTTGTCTAAGTTTCGTTTACAATTTTGTCAACATCCCAGGGCCTACACTTTTTTAACTTCACCGGGGGTACTTATTGTTTTGTATCGTTGTTCTACATTATCGTATTCGAAAAGAGTAATCAGGGACCAATTCAAGAAAAATTTTCTTCTCTTCTTCATGTAAATAAGATCTAAATATTTTGTTTGTTTTTCGGGCTATGGAGAAAAGAGATTTTATTTGAAAGACAATCTTTCGATTTTTAAAAGTGGAGCGCACGAAATAAGTCTCCAATAGGCCTAAAGGTATGTGTGTGACATAGATTTACACGACCTCTCAATAATTCTATGGTACACAATACACGCTTATAATAGACAATGCATATTACGAACAGTGGTTCTGAGCTTCCAGTTTGCTTTTACTTCACTCTGAGCAAAGATAGTGACATGTAGACGTAATCATTATCATGTGCAAAGATCATCACTAGATCTAGAATCTAGAATCTAGATATCTAGTAGAATTTTTTTGCCCCAAGAGCCTCGAATGTTATTATTACAAATTGATCGAAATGATTGATTAATTAAGAATCGTAGTCGATGGGTAACCTTCGGGAGCGTTCATTGGAAAGAATTATTGTTTTGGTTTTGGCATGCCACAAGTACAAAATCGGCATCGTCGTGGTGAGAGAGAATATTATTGAACTGACTACTCAGCTTCCAAAGATAGATTCTTAATGGTGCAGCATTTAAGTTTATTTATTTGTGGTTTATCTGTGCAATACTTATTTTAAACAGGCCATCAATGCTTCATAATTTATGAGGTTACATGTCGTGTATTAGTAGGAAGGCCACCTCTTAAAAAAATGCCTCTATTCAGGCGAGTCTTGTGGCTATTCTCACCCGGTGCGCGTTCACCAAATTTTGCGTTCACCCTAAACTACAGAATTCTACACTGTGATAACAGAAAAATTGTAGAATTCTGTGCCGTGAACAAACGTTCCATTACAATTGTAGCCTACTAAAAGCGTACAATTTTGTCTGTGGGCAGTGGAGAGAGAGAGAAAGAGAGAGAGGAGTAGCGCGAAAATTTCCGGGCAAAACAAAATGGCGACCCGCGTAGTTCGGCTCGATTCGAAAAGTTAAATAGCCGTAGCATCTTTGTAGACAACCAAATTTATTTACTTTTGTGTTTTAACATCATTTTTAAACTTTGTTTTGGTCAATTTCATCGTCAACACCGATAGACAGTATTCAGAAAGAGACAGAGAGAGAGAGAGAAGAGGGGAGGAGTTGATCTTGCGAGAACTTCCGGGCGGGTGAGAATAGCCACTTTCTAGTAGGAAACTGAGCCTGGCTACTGTTTTACTTACCTTACTATCATTATCAAGCTGCTAAGACTGCAACTACAGTACAGTGCTGCAGCGTGCAGACTACTACTGTGTAGTGTAGAACACTGTTTGACTTTCGTCTCGGCCAGCATAATCAGCAAGTTTACCTACTGTAATGCTTTGTGTAGATCTAGATCTATAAAGTGGGTGATCTAAAGCAGCCAATATGATGCTACGGCAACGTAAAGGTCAACAGACTTTTTAATCTTATATTAAAGGAAGTGGCTATTCTCACCCAGGGTGAGAATAGAAATACAATCGACCTCTCACCCCAGGTGAGACTTGCCACCGTAGGCTATTCCCACCCGGTGTGAAACAAGACCTGTTTTTCCTAATTTCGGTGATGATCAAATGGATAAAGGCAAAGAAAAGATTACGTTATAGCACAAAAGTAAGCTAATTTTATCGACTACAAAGATGCTATGGCTATTTTACTTTTCTAATCGAGCCGAACTACGGGGGTCGCCATTTTGTTTTGCGCGGAAGTTCTCGCAAGATCTACTCCTCCCCTCTTCTCTCTCTCTGTCTCTTTCTGAATACTGTCTATCGGTGTGGACGATCAAATTTACCAAAACAAAGTTAAAAAATGATGTTAAAACACAAAAGTAAATTAATTTGGTCGTCTACAAAGATGCTACGGCTATTTAACTTTTCGAATAGAGCCGAACTACGTGGGTCGCCATTTTGTTTTGCCCGGAAGTTCTCGCGCTAAGTATTCCTCTCTCTCTCACTTTCTCTCTCTCTCTCTCTCTCCCCACTGCCCACATACAAAATTGTACGCTTTTAGTAGGCTAACAGTAGTAATGGAACGTTTGTTCACGGCACAGAATTCTACAATTTTTCTGTTATCACAGTGTAGAATTCTGTGGTTTAGGGTGAACGCAAAATTGGTTGGCCTAGATCCAGGCTATAACGGTGAACGCACACCCGGTGAGAATAGCCAAAAGACTCGCCTGTGCTATTCTCACCCGGGGTGAGAATAGAGATGGCCTTTATTAAATTGATTGGAAACCATTATTCTGTAGGAAGAGGCTAGCCGTACTTAATGACAGCGACGGCTAGACTGGTTGGCTAGACAGCTGGGCTAGCCGTACTTATTCTTTATATGATGGCTAGACTGACCATTAAAAAAAAATAGGCATACTGAATTGTAAATATAAATTTTTAGTTTGCAGTACCTAAAGTATTTGTATTTGAGACGAAATCAGGTGCCTTAATTAATGACAGTGCATGTATTTTAAACCTCCTGTTTTCTAATGTTAATAGGGCCTAAGATAAGTACGGCTAGACTGGCAGTCTAGCCGTACTTAAGTACGGGTAGACAGCCAGGCTAGCCGTACTTAAGGACAGCTAGACTGTCAGGCTAGCCGTACTTAATATTGATGGCTGAATTGTAAATGAAATTTTTAGTTTGCAATGCCTAAAGTATTTCAGACAAAACCAAAAGGTGCCTTACTGACTTGCATGTATTTGAACCTGAATAATTACTAGATCTAGATCTTATGAGACCTTTGTACTTAACAGGTCTGAGTCGATAGGGCCAAACCTAGATCTAAGTACGGCTAGACTGGCAGTCTAGCCGTACTTAAGTACAGCTAGCCACTTCGTATTCTGTAAGTGTGTAGTGTAAGGCAGAATAGAATACCAACTGCAGCGCTGCCTATTTCTGCAGATTTTTCCTATTGATTTTGGATCTGCTCATTTGCCCTACCAGTAAAGATGCCGAAACTGATGGATTTACAATGGGCGCTGAGATTTAAAAAACGAAGTGACTATTCTGACTTGAGTCCGAATATAGACAAACACAGTGATTATTCTCACCCGGGGTGAGAATAAATTTGATACTATTCTCACCCCGGGTGAGAATAACGACAGCCTAAGTACTATTTTCACCCGTTTTTTTCATTTCGGACATCCAGGGTTGGGTTGATTTAAATCAGGTCGATTGAAATCAGTTGATTTTTTAAATTTAAATCAACTTGATTTTTTGAATAAAAATCAGTGATTTAAATCACTTAAAATTTTTTTTATTTTTATTCAGTTTTTACATATTTCAACTTTCAGAATTCCTTTCCTTGGTTTCATAAAACAGATGTAAGGTTTAGTAGACTAATATAACCATGCTTAAAAGTCTGCTTCCCCCCTGTCACTGTAAAATAATACAGGATTCAATTTACTTTTTTTAAATAATTGAAATTAGCATTTTCTTTTTCTTTTTAGATAAACACAAGCGCGCGCGCGCACACACACACACACACACACACACACACACACACACACACACACACACACACACACACACACACACACACACACACACACACACACACACACGCACACACACTAATAAAATGCAAGTTTATCTATGCATAACGAACCCCCCCCCCCCCCTTCCTTTTAGACTGACATTTTCTTCATTTTTTTTGTCTGTAGCCATAATTCACTGATATAGCAGATTAAGGCTTTCTTTTGCAGTTGCTTAAATTAATCATTAGTTAAAATAAAGACAATGCATTTTACACTAAAAGAACATACTTTTAGCCACCAAAAATCCCAAATTGTGTCAACATTAAAAAAAAAATAAAAAATTTAGATTTAAAAAATCTGATTTAAATTGTGTAAAATTGATTTTTTATATTTTTATTTAAAAAATTAAAAAACTCACCAACCCTGCGGGCATCATAGGACCCCTGTCACTGAGCGCTCCAGGCGACAAAACTCGTCTCCCTCTCTCACTCCGCTGAGCGTGCGGCGACTAAAATCGCCAACAGGCAGGCCAGCTCTCGAGCGCGGGAGGCGACTTTTGTCGATTTGGGGGGAAAACCTTATCTTTTGAACGAAAAACCTCACCTTTTGTTGCTACAGTATTAATTTATTGGTTCTGTAATGGAGAATTTTACTCTTGAATAGTTTAACCAACCAAATTAAGAAAAAAAATATGCCTAGGGTCAAGGCACTGCGTTCCTTAAAAATAATCGTCTGCTAGGGATAACAATTAAACATGTTTTTTTGTGTTGTAAACAAATGCCATTTCTAACATTACAATGACAAACTATTACTAACATTATTTCATTAAAAACAGCTCTCAGGTAAGGCTATTATTTTTAAAAACATACTACAGTCGAACCTGCCCTGACGGCCACCTCTATAAGACGACCACCTGTACAAACGGCCACTTTCCATTTCCCCCCTTGCGTTTTTTCTATATAATTTAACTGTGTAAAACGGGCACCTGTCCAACGCGGCCGCGGCCACAAAAATTTAACACACAACCCCTATAATACTAAGCAATAATACCTGTCTAAGACGGTCACCTTAGTGAATCCATTACGTTTTGTCATAAATTGTGCATTGGCCCCTGGCGTTGTGGGCGAGCCGTCATAATTCAATCACCTGTCGTTGTTGTTAGGTAGTCCCTCCAACCGATCATGTTGCGTAGGCCCCTCCCACTGTTGACCAATAGCTACCAATTTTCAGTTGCAGGTGAGTTAGCGTGTGATCCCTCATAACCCATAAGCCCCGCCCAGAACTCGTACACAAATCGTAAGTGAGATGAGTGGTTACTGTTTACCCAGTCTGTAACAAAGTAACAAAGGACGTCAACATGAACTTGTTACAGAAGCGTCCCTCGTTCTCCGAGTGGTGGCGACCCATGTGTTTGTTTTAACATGGCACTCGGTCTTCCTTGTCTGATACATTTCGTTTTATTGTCACTATTGTGCAAAATCAGCGACAAAATAAAAATTACAAACGAAATACAAACCAACAGCAACAACACCAACAAAGACAACAACAATGGGGCTACTTTCGATTGGGGCCTCAGATGGGAATGGTTTGTTTTCTTTATCTTGATCAGTCCTGCCTAAGACGGCCACCCGTCTTATGCGGCCACTTTTCTCCTTGACAATGGGTGGCCGTCTTACACAGGTTTGACTGTACTTTGGCAGGTGAATTCCTTTCAGAATTTTGAATATATTTACACTTGTCTAGGGTTTTGGTGAATATTCGTGCATACTCTCAACTCAAGATTTAAAAAAATGAAACAATAACAATCCCCGCGGGAGCCTAGAAAAATCGGCCAGCGCTCTGGGGCAGGTCATGAACAGTCACTCTCTTACAATTGACAAATTATTTTCTATCATCCGTTCTCAACATCCAGGTAGACCTAAAAAATCCATTGCTTTCTCGGACCGGGTGAGAATAACTCACTTCTGTTTTGTTATGACAATCATTATTTATAGTTTGTTATGACAATCATTATTTAGGTAGTTTCCAGATTGCTTTAAAATTAAATAAGAAATTGTTTCCAGTTGAATGTAGATATTAAGTTATATTAACATACTCTTTTGTCTTGCTCTCTTTTTCAGAAATGCTGTGTCTTCCTTTGGGCTATCTGAGCAATTCCAGACCGTAGTTCTGTGGCTGACTAAAAGAAAGTTTTAAGGAATTTATGCTGTGCACCAGTCCTGTGGTTGTAAGACGCTTACATGGATCAAGTTTTGTCTCCTGTGTCAAAGTGATATGCTCAAACAGTTTTGTCTCAAAATGTCAAGAAAAGCGCTTTGGTGTAGTTGAGACATCTTCGTTCCAGAAATATCTATCGAGGTACAGCTGCCATGATGCCCTTTGTGCAAAAAAGTTAAATGGTCCAACAGACTTTCTTGCTAAAAGAAAGCTATTGTCACTTTCAGTTCCGTATTCTTCTCACAGTATTAGTTACAGTAATATAATAATTATGGCTGACAATAAATATGTCGTTGGTTATGCCAAACTGGGTACTTCGAGCTGCAAGAAATGCAAACAGAAAATTGAAAAAGGAGCACTGCGAATTGGCAAAGTGACACCAAACCCATTCTCGGAAGATGGAGGTGACATGAAGCAGTGGTTTCATCCAGCCTGCATCTTTGAGACTTTTGTTCGAGCAAGAGCTACAACAAAGAAAATTGAAGATCCAGAGGATGCAGAAGGCTTTGGGGATCTGAAGCCAGAGGATAAAGATGTGATCAAGAAACTGATTGATGGTATGTGTGTAATTTGAATGATATTGCTCACTTTTGGTTTTGGGTTTTTCATCTTTATTTACTGATTTTTTCCCCTCACAAATTAGTTAAAATAAAAATTTGCTTATTAAAAGTTTATACTTGAGGTATTGTTGTCAAATTGCCCATCTTTGTACTAACAAAGTCGTTTGTGACTGAATTTTTTATGACGGAAATTGACTTTATTATTGAATAATCGAAGTATTTCTCTTAGTACGTATATGGCATGCCATTCGTGCCACTGACCAGTATCATTTGTTTTGTCTCACTCACATCATTGCTCGGCCCTCTGCAGTCATATATTAATTAAAATGTACTTAACCCCATCTACAGTAAAATGTTATGTTTATTGCATGGAGCATTCATGTCTGCTCCGCTTGGTGTTTGTTCTATGCAAATAGGTTAAACAGGGCAAGACTAGAGTTATAGGGAAATTTGTGATGCTATAAAAGTGGATCACAAAAGTGGCTGTGAACAAATGTGCCATAATTTTCTTTATAGTTGAAGTTAATGCTCTTTTGAGGATTATTTTCAACTTGCTCATTTTTCAAGAGGAGGAAAAAAAATAATGGCATAAAAGAAGAAAATAGTGAGTCGATTTAGTGTAGTTACATGGAACGTTATCCTTTTTAATTCTTGTGCTGCAGTATTTCTAATACTTTTTGTCTGAATATTATCAAATTCATTGAACCTGCTTTATTTTATTGTGGCCTGTCAATGATGTTTAAATGTATGATGGATGGGACAGACTTACAATGAAGTTTTCTTCTGATTTTACAGTGCTCTGTTTTTTTTGTTTGTTTGTTTTCACACCTTGTACTCATAGATGAAGTTTTTGATGAGAGTTTTTATTGTTTCACCCTTTGATTTGCAGAGTATCTTTCAAAAACTGGCAACAAACCATCTCCAAAACCAAAGAAAGCAGTTCAGGCAACTCTTCCTGGGGCTTCACCCGCGAAAGCAGATGCACCATCGTCATCAAGCGACTGTAAGTTTTTATGTGATATTAACTTGCCTTTTCTATTTTCATGTTTGCTTGTTTTTTGCGCAAAGTATAACACTCTTTTTGGAATAAAAATGACTTGTTAATTTTATATGCACCAGATGAGATGAGACTTGGAACAAAAAATGTCGCTGACCAAAACCTTATTGTAAAGGAGATGGAATATTTGATGTGTGTGGAAGAGAGGATGTGTGAGAGAGTTTGTGCGTGTGTGCACACCATGCACGTGGGCATGTGTGTGTGTGTGCATGTGTGCTAGCATCTGGATAATAAAGATTGGTCTAATCTCGTCTTCTTATTTTAATGCATAGATTAGTCTTATTGTCTGTGCCCTTTTGACATAATGTTCACTGTACTCGGGGGAGCTCTGACATTTCCTTAACAAAACACATTCATGTCTATCTCTTTCAGCTGCACCATCCTCAAGCAGAACTCCTAGTAAACCATCAACATCTTCTGCTGCTGATGGTGAAGATCCAAATGCAGAAAAGGACAACTCTTTCCGACAGTTCCGCAGACTCTGTGCTGACATCGCTGAAGAAAATAGCTACCTGGGCAAGACAAAACTAGTGAAGAGCTACATCACGAAAGGGCACAGTGGAGGTTTGTTTCTTTTTATAATTTTATACCATTTGTTGCTTAAGACGTGGGATTTGCTGATAAAAAAAGAAGAAAGAGAGAGTGGTTGAAGAAAAAACTGTTTAATTTTTTTGTAAGTATTTTTCTTCACTCATTGAAATATTTTGTTGGGTGTCATGTACAGCTGTTTCTCCATTTCCTTAGGTGTCTCTGACTGAAAGATTGTGGAGGTGCAGGCTTGGTGGAGGAGGTCATGAGTCGATGACATAGCTCTCTGTAACACACGGTTGTCGTGGATGGTGGCAATGTTTGCTTCTCATGTCCAATGCAGTTGACTTCTGACTAAAATGGTGAAATGCTAGGGGTTTTTAACGCTACAATCAACACTATTAGATTATTTAAGAGGCAAGACCTCTGAGTTCAACGTCCATCCCGGAAAGGACCGAGCCAAATGGGAGATTCTTGTAAAGTGCCTTTCCCAAGGACAGAACATCAGACTGAGCTGAAGCTCGAACCCTCGAACTGGCAATCTCACAATTACAGGTCGGGTAGTCTAATCACTAGGCTACCAATGGCACTCTTCTGGCTAGTTTCATGAAACCATTCTTCTCGATTATAAATGTGCAAGTGTAAAAGAGATAGTAAGAAATGAAACTGCTTTATTTTATATTATGTAACACTTTCATGTTTTTTCTGAGAATGATGGTCAATGTAAAAGGTAGGAGTTGGTTTTTTTTATTGGTAAATGATAAGTTTTTTCAATACTCTAAAAGGGGTGTGATTGTCATGGGAGGGGGGGAGGGTGGGAAGGTGATTGTGTTAATTTGGTTTTAAACAGGGTATCGTGCTATTCAACAGTAGATGGTAGGTTTGAATCATATGCTAAATACATAAGCATATATATTTTTTTAAATCAGTATGAGAAATGGTGAAAAAGCAATTATGTTATTCCTTTCGAAAGCTGTGGCTGAAGTTGAACATTTTATGTTATATTTTATGCTTTGAAAAGACGTATTGATGAGATGTGAACCTTCTCAAAGAACATTAATCATGCCACTGCTGTCTGCTTAATGTTTATTATATTATTGGAAGTTAACAAAAAATTTGGCCTTCCTTTCAAATTTGTGTACGGGCATTTCAGATTTTTTCCTGTAAACTGTACGGTGATATGATTTACCTTTTCTGATCTGTACCAAAGATAGTACAAGACAAGATGGGTCACTCAGCCTAAAAAGTGTCCGCAGGAAGTATGCTCTTTGCTTCAGATGGCGCTGCAGTCTGTTTTGAAGCTCTCTTTCGTTTTTCCAGAAGAAGAATAGGAATAGCACTTCCTTGCGTGCGCAGATCGACTGCTGTTCATCAGCAGTTCGGGTACGTTCAGTGCGGAGTTTTAGTTTTTTAAAATTTTAATGACCTCTCGCCCTTCATTCTAAAGTCAAATTAAACGAAGAAAACCATCTCCTTTTCCTCCGGAAGAGGTTTTTTGTCAGCGTAACCATTTTTAAAAAGCGTTCTTCCGAAATTTATCCCAAAACGTGCTAGTTTCACTTTGATTTTTTAAAACTCAAGTAGGGTAACTCTGTTCGCAAAGAGTGCGCTTTTGTGAAGAGGGCGCCACCAAATTCTGAGGACACTTTTTTAATTGGCTCAAAGAGAGAAGTGGCCCATCTTGTCTTGTACTATCTTTGTCTGTACCAGATGGCTTCCAAGGTAATTTGTACCTTTTAATGAAACTGCTGCTGCCTGGTGTTGTGAAGACAGTCTACAACCTTAACAGCAAGCAGCTTGTGAAACTTTTCAGCCAGGTAATTTTTTCTATCTTCCTATCTTCCCATCACTGTTCTTTAAACTGGTATTTTTGCTAGTCTGGTAGATTTAAGCTATCTAGGGTGGGGGAAGAAGAGGAAGGAAGGGAAAGGAAAATGATGACATGTTGTTTGATAGGTAGGCATTTCCTCGTGTATAATAATTTTCAGGTAAATTTTTTTTTCTGGAAAATGTTTTACGGCGCTCGCTACTGCATAAGGTCCTGTAGGAAATTTTGAATTTTGCCAAGGTGGCGGCCGAATCCTACTCTAATCTATTTTGGACCACCAAGGGATCTTTAACGTGCGCAACTTGCACACGGGACCTCCAATATTTTTCGCCTTTGTCCGACAAGGCTAGGTGTAGATCTTTCCAACCATAAGATCAGGGGTGTGGCTGAAAGACAGCAGTAAGAAGGAGCCAAGGAGAAGCAGTAGAAAGGCTGCAGAAAGATTCAGGAGCCAAGAGGAGGGGGCAAAGGAGGTGAGGGAGTGGGGACAGAAAGTGTTGATAAAAGCAGATAACAGAACATTGTTAGAGAGGAGGAAAGGATATGAAAGGGAAAAATTTTAGAGAAGAAAATTTTCTGTTGCTATCTGGATTTGAACCCGGAACCTATTGAATGAGAGGCGAACACCCTAACCTCTAGGTCATGAGAGCCCCCATGTTAAATCTTTCAGCGGGCAAAAAATGAAAGAGTTAATGATCATCTTATGTATTTTGGCGTGCTCAGATGTTAAAGATGCAAGTTGGAGTCTACTTTTGTTTTTTTGGAAACTTTGATGTGTGATTTGACTTTTTCTGATGTTCTCTCTCTCTCTCTGAAAAAGCTTGCTTAAGTATACTGTACTGAAATTTCATAAGCAGGGTAAATTTTTCTTTATATCTTTGTTTGATTCAAATCTTTGAACTTATAATGATACAATTGTGATCATGAAAGTGGCACATATCCATTTCTGATTTTCAAAAGTATAGATTAAGTTTTTTCCTCTCTTTTATTTGCTATTGATTTTGTAAGAAAGACTTTATTAATTGTTCAAGTATACTTGAATGTGTATAATTCAATAACTCTCTGGATATTGTTTTTGTTTTTCTCTTCAGATCCTGGCCACAAATCTGTCACGGATGATAGAAGACTTGGATCAGGTAAGCTTCAGTTGAGATTTCTGCAGCGTGGAGAGAATAGCGAAATGCTGTGTCATTTACTGTGGCTAGACTTTTCTCAAAATTATTTGGATGAAGTTTTCAAGTGGCTGCTAATATGTGTTTAGATTCTGATAATAATTTTCCCCTGTACTTCTGCCTTTATGTTCCTCTTTCATCCTCTTTTCATTTCTCTCTTTACCTTTCCTTTGACTATATAAATCTAAAAAAAACTTTTCAAAAGTGAAAGTACAGTTTCCCATGTTCATAACAAAATGGGCGTGTCCCAGAAATCTTAAAGTTTTGTACAAATTTCACTATGCACATGTTTTAAATTCAAAGAATGTACTTGCACAGAACCTGGAAATCTGTTTGCTGTTTGTGTCTTTTGTGCCCGGGCTTAACTGTAATATATATATTGAGGCGTGCTGACAGAATGAGTTACTTCTCGCTTTCTACAACTGGAGATATTGGCCAAAAATTGACACGCGTCTAGTTTGTAGATTTTTCTATTGATGCCATATTCTTTAAGTATAACATGCCCTTTATTATTTCTTACTTATAAATTGTAAAAACTTCACCTTTAAGCGTGGTGTATCTATTTCCTTAAGGCTTGAATCCGAGAAATAACTAATTTTGTCAGCACGCTTCACTTATAGTTTTGTTTCCCCTCTGAAGGAAGGCTTATACAATTTCCCAATGTTCCCCAATAATGAACTTATTGCTCCAACCCGAGTACAGTCTGTGTGTTGCAGCCTGTTTTTGCTGGCATATTTCCTTCTGCAGGTTGTTAGGCTGGAATTATCTGGTCAGTGAAAAAAACTTAATTTGTACATGAAAATTGGTATAAAGTCCAGAGTTAAGAGCATTTCAGCGGCTGAGCGCAAGAAGTGACTATATCCACTTTTTACAATTTCGAGAAAAGCGAGTTTGAGATTTTGATGATGTCGAAATCTTTATAACATAATTTAAAAAAGAAAGGTTAATATCTTGATACTGTAGTAAGCTACGGCTTAAATATTTACAGAGGTAAAAGAGCGGCTTAAAACCTCACTACCCGTATAGATTACTCCGTTTCGACTAAAAGTGGATATAGTCATTTCTTCCACCCAGCCATCGATTTGTTTGACAAAATTTAATATTTGGACACACAGGAGCATTTTTAAGCAATGTGAAAGTGAGTGCCTTTCTTATTGTGAAACATGCCATTCTAGGGGGCGTTTTTTTTTTTCGTTCTTGGTTGTGTTACCCTTTAATTTTTTTTCTTTGTAAAAAGTAAAACTTTTTGGTGCTTTTTTTGGGTCTTTTTTCCTTCTGTAAATGAAATGTGCAACCACAAATTTTCATAGCTGATAATTTTATTCAAATTATTCCCTGTCAGGGTGATGTTGCTGAAACAATACGCATATTCTTCGAGGAAAGCAAAGTGTTTGTGCCGCAGAAGAAGAGCACTCTGAGTCTCACAGAGGTAAGCTGGATTATTTTGCTTACCATATTTATTTTCTCTTTGTGATAGACACTCTGTGTTTTGCAGAGTACAAAGAACAACTATTTTTCAAGGATTCACCCATTATCCATTACCCTCATTGCTGGGCCCACTGTCTATGGAGCAAGACTCATAGTTCTTGCCTATTGTGGATTGGACCAAACACCGTCTTGCCCCCCCCCCCCCCAGGGCAGTGCTACTGACTGAAGTGTCTTTATGCCATTCCCAAAGGAGGGATATTGACATGTTCTAATGTGCAGTAGAATTGTAAATGGGCTGATTTATCAATGTCATGCTCATATTGTGCTGGAAAAACATAGGGGGAATTGCTGCTTTTTCTTTCCTCATCCTTACTATCGTCGTTTTTCCTCTACTTTTTTTGCATGTTTGTACTCTCTTGAGAACTGCTATTTCCGGGGTGCTTTGATAGTCGAAGCAGACTTTGTGCTGTTGAGGCTAGAGAGGTAAGCAGAGTATGCCTGATTCCCCGTTTGGACTTCTCCGTTGGCATCCACCTCTTGGCACTTGTATGACCTTATACAATTGCGAGCACCATAAAACCTTATTAAAACTGAAACTAAATACTGTCTTGAATGTATAGAACCAGGTGTCAGTCTGTTCGCTGTCACAAGGTCTGATGGCTAGTGTAGAGGTTTGATGCTTCACCATGGCACGCAAAAGACATGCTTTGGATTATTTCCACATGGGGAGGTTTTGTATGGAGTGTCACCATCTTCCTTTGGGGACGTTGTTTCTTTCTGAGCCCGGTTGGCTCTTTCTGTATTATCTAAATAATGTCAATAGGGGGCTTAAGACATCTACAATGACAGTTACTGTCATGTGAGACATTTATACACAAACAAAGAACAATGGAACTATACATGTATATGTGAATCTGCACTTACCATTTTCTCATTAGCATTGGCACTGGTGATTTCTCTGTCTGTTTTAGTACTTTAAATTTCCTTGCTTATGCTCGTGTTGCTTGTTTCTCTTGCTCATCCCCTAAGAGTTAATGTGGATGGTTGGCGGGTGCTCTGGTGTGGTCTGCTTCTCCTTCCCTATCAAACATCTATTGTCCTTATCTCTTCTTCTTTTTTCTGTGTGTGACCCTCTTGTAAAAGCCTTTTATCTTCAGCACTTATATGACCTTATTGTGTTGCAAGTGCCGTTATACTCTTAATAAAACTTTAAAAAAAGAGTCAATGGTATAAAATTCAAATGAACTGAGCAAATTCTTTTCTCAGGTTGACCAGTACTTGTCAGACCTGGCACAAGTGACAAAAGAGGATGACCAGCAGAAAGTGCTGACCAAAATAACCAAAAGGTAATGAATACACTGCATGTACAGATTTCAGATGTCATCCAAAATAATTTTTTTAGATGTCAGTTTTGATATTGGAAATAACTAGTAATGCTGGTGTCAGAGAGGGGTAACAGAGATGATGAGGGAAAAGGTCACAAGGCGGAGAGAGAGGGAGAGAGAGAGGAAGAGAGATGGAGAGAAATGAGCACTATTAGAACTGTATGGTGCTCGTGCTCTTTGTATTATTGTAACCTGCATTGGGCTTTATAAGTGCAATTTATTATATGTGTCACGACGCAGTGGAATCAGGCGCTCGTCAATTTTTGGGCATGTAGGGTAATTGGTATGATCTGAAAGCTGATGTATTTGCCTTGCTTCCAATGAAATAAATGTCCATTTATCTTGAATAGAACTCAAGATATCTGCAATTGAAGGAAGAGAGGTTCCCTAGTTTCAGTGGTGAAATTAGCAGTAAAATGGCCATCAAAGTTTGGTAACTCCAATAGCTAAAGAGTCTTTCTTTGCAAGCTGAAATATGACATATTTTGTCCCTTTAATCAATGGGTTTTATTCAGCAAAATTCACGTAGAAATGTGTTTTTATATGGTCATCAAAGAGGTTAGGCCAAAAAATAAAAATTTCCAAACTGTCGGAAGAATGCCTGTTTCTCCGATTTTGAGCACTTGATTTCACCATGCTGCATCACATATTTTTTAAATTATTATTGCATTATAATCTTCTATTTTGAGTTTCACTGTGCTGGGAACTGAAAAAGAGAATTTTTTTTTGTTTCTGCTTTTACTTGCTGCTCTTTAGTTTGCAAGTGTTCCTCTCGTCTTATGTAGCATAAATCTTTTATACATGAATTTGGATCTCCTCTTACCCTGAAAGTTGTTTTGTTTTGTTAAAAAGAACATTTTTGACAAACTGTTTATTTCCAGCCTCTAATTTACAACTAGTCCTCCAGACTGACATTGCCACGAAGACTTTGTACAAAAACATACTTCTAGAGAGCTTTGATATTTTTTTTTTGGCATGCTCTTTTATGTTTGATATGACACTTTGTTCATTAAAGTGTAATTATACACTTTGATCACAGGTGCACAGCCAACGACTTGAAGATGGTGGTGAGGCTGATCAAGCATGACTTGAGAATCAACGCCGGCGCCAAGCACATGTAAGTCTTACGGAATATACCTGCACTCATTGGTTTTGTGGCTTTGCTCGATTCAGAGAAAAGTTACAGAGGTGATGAGAGAGAAGATGGCCTCGTTTCTTTGGGAAAGTTAAGTTGCTCGAACCTGATAGAACTTTTTGTTTTTAAAGACAACTGTGGCGTTTGGTGGTAATGGACCTCTGTGTCAGAATTTATTGTGTAATAATGTGTCGTATAATTTTTGCTGTAAAGTGCATTAAGCTATCCTGGAGTGGAAATGTGTTTTATATAAATGCAATTGATACATTGTTAAATGCTTTTTTGTTACTAACTCAATTGTTAAATGCTTATTTATTTTTAACTCCTTTGTTAAATGCTTAGTTATCATGTACTCATTTGTTAAATGCTCAGGTATTATTAATTCATCCATTCACTTTTTTGTTCTGTATCTCTTCCTTAGACTGGATGGCTTAGATGAGAATGCTTATGCAGCTTTTCAAGCTTCCCGGGATCTGGGAGATGTGGTGGACCGAGTGCTGGAGCAACAGACAGGGAGTGGAGACAAACCGGGTCTGAAGAAAAAGCTGAGCGTGCGGGCGGCGCTCATGACCCCGGTGTTGCCTATGTTGGTGAGTTAGCTTCGGTCACTCATAAATGTGCATTGTAATGTTATTTGTTGCTGAGCTGTCAATTATAGAATTTATAAAGATTCTGATGTCTTTTCATCAAATATAAAAACATTCATTCGTCATGTGTAGTTGTAGTGTTTTTCTTAGAAGAAAAAATACTTATTGAAACTTATCATATTCCATGAGTCAATTGAATCAATGATTTCAGATTTAATTTTCACCTGTTACTTGTCAAATTATCTTCTTTCAAATTGTTCACTTTGCAGATAGTATAGACTTAAAGTGAAACCCTGTTTTAAATGTGATAGTTTAGGTCCATGAAATACCAGAGAGGAATAAGTGTTGCTGCATTCAATCGAGGTCGCTGACCCAAATATTGCAATTTTGGGGCTTAATTTCATATATTGTTTTTCATTCTTTTTCTTCAGGCTGAGGCATGTAGGTCTGTAGAACAGGCCATGAAGAAATGCCCCAATGGATTCTACGCTGAAATCAAGTATGATGGGGAGAGAGTCCAAATCCACAAAAAGGGCAACGATTTCCGCTACTTCAGCAGATCCTTAAAGCCCGTGCTTGATCACAAGGTAAGTGAACATGGGCGGTGCTGCCTGGACTTTGTCTATATAGCTTTGACTCTGTGATATCAACATAACACAGTTGCTTACAACTGTTGGTCATTAGAGAAGGCTTGACTTTAAGTGGACTGTTATTCACGAAAAAAATGTTAACTACTTTTTGGATTTGACACAAGTTACTGCTTTTTTTTTTTACCATCCCTATAACTAGACAGCTAAAAAAAGGACTTAAACAATTATGTTGTGTTATGTTGTGACAGTTTCAGTTTTTTTTGAAGTTGTACGCCTTACAGAATACAAAGTAGGTCATTTTGAAAACGGGCCTCTTATACCCAGTGCCCATTGTTTTTTCTGGAGTTCTTGACAATACATGTTGACATGTCTGCCTGTATAGTTCTAGAGGTGGTGAACTGGGAAGGAAGAACTGCGGAGTTCTGTGATGTGGAAGAGGAGGAAATTCTTACAAGTGTTTTGATAATAAGGCCCATACAAAATGTTTTTGTGTTCTACAGGTGAAGCACTTCAAAGAGTACATTCCCAAAGCTTTCCCCACTGGCTCCAATTTGATTCTGGATGCGGAAGTTCTGTTAGTAGATACCAACACTGGGAACCCCTTGCCTTTTGGAACTTTAGGAGTGCACAAGGTTAGTCAGTGGACTGGGCTTTAGGGGAGATGTGATGTGGATGGGGCTGCTGGGGAAAAGGATGAAGGGGGGAGGTGGTTGGGAAATAGGACATGGGTGTGACAGTTGGGGAAAAGGTTGGGGGGGGGGG